CGTGGATAATTTCCAATCTGATTCCTGGTCTATGTCCCAGTACACACTTAAAAACAATTGGGAAATATTTACACAGAGAAGGTCGAATTATGAACTGTTTACTCCGATGGCCTTTAAATGCATAAAAGTCGGGCAGTTTTCACCTAAACCTACCCACAGCCAAAGACCAGAGTTGTTGAATGAAGTGGTATTTCATATTGTACAACTTGTTTAGCCAACTTTATTTTTTTTGGTTATTAGGCCAAACAACTGGTCCTTGACTTTGTCCCTTTTTTTCACGACAGAGTTCCTTTTCCCAACGCCCGGATGAGCAGTAACTTCCATTTTGTGAAGAGAGTACAGGCGTCGGGTAAGTCACTATCTTTTAAAGATGCACGTACATTCTGCGCATGTGTCGTAGCGCACGCGGAAACGTTGACCTGTGTTGTTCAAATTAATTCGGTCCCGTGTGGATAGGAAAGAATACTCTTCCCAGAAAAGAAAGATGGGGTTAAGAGGTGGCGAAGTGCGTCTGCTCTCAGCAAGGCTTTCCTATAGTGATCAGCCTGAGTGATCTCGTCGCTGGATTGATTGGTAATGAGGAGTGTTCGGCCTTAAATTGATCGCTTCCCCCTCGTGACGGGCTCGGGGACTGCGCCGCACTTTAACGACGCCCAGTTGGCACTCATACGCCTATTGGTCTAATTAGCTTACTGACAACTGGCTTTTGCCGAAAGCGGCGGTGATACCCTGCCACCGTAAACAATTTCTATTTGGCATTTCCTCGATTCGTTCATATCCCCCCTGGGCGGTTTTGGCTTGAGCACCCCCGGATTTCACTCTGTCATTGTAATCAGCACGTGGTTGTTTATTATATCCTTCGAAACACGGCAACAGCACATTCGCTCTTCAACCTTGATTGCTTGTTGATGAGGAGTATAAATCTTCCAGAATGACAAGTAATTGTCTTCACTTTTCATCAAATACGTTGCATTAAATATGCATCATCTTGTGGAATTTTTTTTATTCGTTTTAGATTGGCACACTGGGCTTGTAAAATGTCAAGTTTTATAGAAACGGTCTTTTGTATACATTTTTGACATATTGGGGAGAATTATTATATGAAGCTAAAAATATGCTTCATTTGCCATGAAAGTGGATAGGCCTAACTATATTCTGTGATCTACCTTTGTTTACTGCAGTTCTTGACAGTATAGTCTGCCCACACTTCACACTGCGTTATATTGATGGTACAGCGTGCATGGCACGGTATGGAAATTTTTTTAACTCACTGGCATTGGGACGCGCTGGTATACTTAGCGAAACCTGTTGCTGAATTAAGTTATAAGAGCCAGAGGAATATTTTCTGGAAGTACCAGCACCACTTCTGTCTCTAATTCCGGTTAAGCGCCAGAGATAACGCCACCGGATTACAAACATTGACACCGTCGTACACTACCTGCCAGATGGCAGTGGATAATGGACAAAAAGGGAGATGTGCCAGGCTTTTCGTATGCATTTGTTTGTGGTGACGAGGCGAGGGATTCTTCAAAAATGTGCTTGAAGCTCATGAAGAAGAGAGGATCGATTCAGCAGCGGGATTAGGACAAATGGATATTGAACCTGGAACTCAAAGATCAAATTAAACTGTTCAGCAATTCCATTCGACGGGTACTTTTAGGTACTGGAGTTAACTTGTACCGGTAATTAAATTTATATCAATCTACAGACGGTACCTGCGAATGACCAGTTGTGCTTTTAAAACTTTATACACCACTATGTTTCAAGAAAAAGCTATTATCGTCTTTTAATATGCAGAATATTATTCTGATCCTAATAAACGGTGTTGTACCGAATGGAAATGGATCCCTGTGCTGCATATTGTTTCAGTAATGAAACATAAATTCTGTTTTGAGACAGAATTAGAAAATTCTGTGCATCTGTGCTCGAGCAAAACGATATCATTTCCCCTTGTCTATACGAGCGATTGCGTAAAGTTCGGTCAGAAGTTTGTCCACGTGTATTTTTTGGTGTTTTTGAAAGTTGCCCGCCCCTGTTTGAGGTTCGTTGTTTGAGGTACTAAAAGACCAACTAAACGGTTTTGTTTTCAGCCACAGCCAGGCTGGACCTGTTTGTTTTCTAGGAGGGTGAGATTTCAGGAATGATTGATAGGCCCGACGAGCGAGGTGTAGGTAGCGCCTTGATCAGTGTTTTCCGGATTGGAAATTCGCCACCCTGACTTTTATCTCTTACCTTATGTCTTCCCTTCCGTTCTCTTCCCCTCTTTCTGGTGTCCACTTTAGATCAGTTTTTATCTTTTCATTTCACCATATTTGCCTGCATCACCTGGTTTCGTCATGCAATTGTTATGGACTACTTGATACTCAATTTTTTCAATCCTGACGGAAGGATGTACCCGAAGCAGCCGGCGTGTAATTCGACTATCTCTCCTCATCTCCCCGTCATTCCCGAACGTCGCAGAGAATTGGAAGCATCTTCCAACTGACAGCAATTAGGGCGAAGGAAGCGCGGTGGGCCCCCGCCCTGTGGACACAGGATGGGTAGACACCCAAAGAATTAAGCGGCTTGCGTCAGGGAATGGCCCGGGGAAAGTCCCCCGAAGATTGGGAGTTCCTGGAGGCTAATAAAATGCTATTAGCCAATAAGATGTGTGTCTTGTTATTTATAATCGCAAATTAAGCCCCGCACCGTGTTGTGGTCGAAGAGGTAAGAAACGATTTGGAATTGAGCCAACTTACTCTTCACATAATGCACATCAAGAATTGACAGCTTTGTTTTTGATAAATTATTTAGAATATCTTTTGAAGGATATTTACTTACAAGCTAATGATGCTGTTCAACATAAGTAAGTAGGCCTACAGTGTATTTTCTTTATGACACCCGCAATTAAAACCTGGGAAGTAAATTGTGATGATTTGACAGTTTTCTCGGAAGACCCATTTCCCGCTAAAGGCCTCGCAAGTAGGCCCACAAAATTTTAAGGCAGTGGCACGCAAGGTTCCATGTGTACTTATCAGCACGTGACTGTCAACTGATTTTTTTGGACACAATTTGTGCACAGTTTTCTTCAGATGCAGCACAACCAGCTCACACATGATACATGTACACGAGTCATTCTATAACGTAGGCGTCCATTTTTGTCGTGTCCCTGTCACATCTGACATGTGATTTTGTGAATTAAGAACACATTTTCTAATTTCCAAGTGTGGCGAATCAATGCAAACCAACTACCAAACAATTAGAACTAGTTTTCAATCAATCAATCACTGATATTTCCATGTCAAATGACACAGGTCAGGTGTAACAAAAAGGGACACAAAACTGTCACACTCTTGGACGCTGAATTTATAGAATGACCCACGTGCACATTTCCCCAAGCAAAGCCAAAACCATGAAGTGTGGCATAAATTTACAGAGGATGCAGAAGTCAAATAAGTTATACCCCTATGGTGAAACGAGGCTTAATGCCCAAGCACGATAGCTGCACCACAGCTGTCATTCACTGATAAAGATTCCGTATCCGAACAATGGAACAAACAAGATAAATGATAAGGATACTACCCCAGCCCCCCTCCCGCGAAAGGTTTAGAGGGACCTTGAGACAGAATGTATGACCTGGCCGATTTACATTCCCACCCATATCTCTTTGGTGTTTAAATCAATCCGTAACAGAGCCCTGGGTGACCATGTATCGCATCAGAACGTAAAAAGTAAGTACTTGTTCTCGGTTTACGCCTGTGATGAAATTGATTTTCAAGTGAACCACGCATGTGCCAGCCTTCCAGTCAAATCAGGAAGAATTTTTGACGGATTATTTTACACCCAAACCAATTCTCCCGTCGGATACAACTCCTCACTTCTAAACCTTCCCAAAGTTCATCAGTTACAAACTGTCTAATACTTCTGGGCACAAATCCCCAACATATCTGGACCAGAACCACCTTTCCCTCCGAATCGAACTAAAAGCACTGTGCCGCCTGGAATTTTGTGGGCAATCCCAGTACGGGACAATCTCGTCACGGCCCCCACGTCTCGCCAGGTGTCACTCACTGTCATTCCCATCCGTCGATGAGTGCTCAAGAACCCGGTTCTTCGCAGCTCAGTGACAGCTTCTGTCAGACCCCGAGCTCGAGGGGTCTGTCTTGTTTGCTTGGTTAAGACCCCTCGGTGGATGAGGCCTGTCTTCGGTAAACCTGCGAGTCATTCAGTTGACATAGTGCTCCATGTGTCAGCTCGTTGTCGGCAGTGTCACAAAAATGTCCAATGTTTTGTCATGCAACCCCATTCTCCCGAAACACAGGCTCTCGTGTGCACGCACCGTGCTACGTTTTGTCGTGGTTTCAGTGGTTTCCTGTCGAGACTTGGTGCCGTTTGTTGGCAAAATTGATCCGTGCCAGAACATACCAAGTATGAAAAATATATCAGTAAGCCTAGCGTGGCTTTTCCGGAATGAAACTTACACCACTGACCTGCAATTATTTGATAAAATCTTTGTCGTTGGTGTTTTGGCAGTGACGTGAAGTGATGGCTTTCTTCCTTGATTTTTTCAAGTCACGGTATTGTAAAGGCAACATAAGCCCATATGGTTAGGGCTCATCCCACAAAGCTTTTAAAAGTATACAGCTAGAAAAGGACAGCATTAATGTAGCCTCATGCAGGTCAACGTCATAATTGGTTAATCCAACACTGTAACCCCTTCGTGGTTTGTGACACTTTAAGTGGAGGGAATTGACAGATATAAAGCTACACGGCTTGTAGCTCTGGGTGAAACCTTTCTCAAATAATAGAAAGAATGGAGGTGGGAACATTATATTGTGGTTGTCATTAGGTCGTTTTAACATCCCCAGTTGTGGGTTCACTTCAGTTTCGAGACGTGAATCGGCTACGGGTTTCCTGTTCTTTTCATTTTCTTTTCATTTTAAGGCATCCGTCCACCCTTGCTTGCTGAACTCACAGAAGGATTTGAAAGGCACAAATAACAAGACGCTTTTCACATTCTCTTGATTCTTTAAGAAAAAAAAGTTTATTTTTTTACCTCAAATCATAGAAAAAACCCTCTCAAAGACGATCAGAAATCGAACATCGTTATAATAACAGCGTTCATCTAAAGTGTACTCAATCTTTACAGTGCACAGTCAATCCGGTGCAACTTGAAATAGTGTCATTAAATACTCCTTTTGCTAATTTCTCCTTATTCAGCCCAAGAAAACCGGCGAACCAGCGCCGAGCTTTTTTTTCACTCATCAATTGCATCAAACTCTCGAACTTGAAAAAAAGAATCAACTCGAATTCTGTCTTCGCAGCACTGTCCTGTTTACCAAAGAAGAATTTTCGCCCCAGCAACATTCTCTTGGGGTCCAGTTCATTTTGCTTCTTTCTATATCATGTTTTACTCTGTCTTCGCGTCACAGATAGTCGGTTGTAAAGACCGTTAATTTGTTACAAATGTTGTACAAAGGTCGACGTGTACTTCTAAAAGGTACATGGTGAAAATGTTGAATCCTATAACCACACACACCAAATTGTCTTGTCACAGTAATACTGCCCAATTCTCGGAAGACGTTCTAAGGAAGCGACAATGATTTCCTACCCTCTCCCGCCAAAAATACGGTTAAACCGCTTCAGTGCCCGCGTCACACCTCACAAAATTTCAAGGGCAATGTTGCTACTCAGATTCAGCCGAACGAGCACCACGAAACGGTTCAACCAACCGAGAGGATAAAAAGTGACACAAACAAACTTAAATATTCATGGAGAAATCCTTGGCGCCGAGCCAATAAGAACCATTTCCCAGATGAGTGAATCATACTGATTTTGTGGCGGGAAAAGGAAAAAAAATCCCATAAGGCACACGTTTAGAACCTTATCTGAAGTATCGTCCCCAGAGGACTGCGATCCGAGCGATCCTCTGGCTCCGGCATTCAAGACCACGGAGCTATGTTCAAGACATATCGGTTATCTGGCGCAGGAAGAGAAGATTCCCTTCTCCTCGAGGTAACACGATTGCATCCTCCTTCAGATGGTCAAGAGATCCCTTGGGGGCTCTTGTTAGACGCTCTGACAGGAGCAGGGGGACCCTTGGTCGGGAAAAGAGGCAGCCCTTCATCTCCTCGACTCGTTTAAGAACATTTCTCTTTTTTTAAAGAGGATTACAACCCCCGACAGCACTGCTGTTTCCCAGAGTAGCAACTCTGAACCCCGGCAACCTCGCACGCTGTCTTCAAAAAGGCAGTTAGGTTACCCTTATCGCAACGGCTGGTTCGTTCTAATGCCCTGGTATTCGCAACAACTCTTGCCGAATACTTATCACTACGCAAATAAAAGAATCAGATAAGATAGGTCTTAATCATAATACTGCCAACATCTTCACAAAATTACAAGAGTTCAAAGTCGAACAACGGCGTCAAACCATACCGAGAAACAAAATAAGCAGAATTAGTTAGGTGTTATGTACACAGTGAAAAAAGAAGAATTTGGTACATAAAATATGCATTAATTAATCATGAAATTCCTTTAACAAAACAATTATTGTGCATAACCTGAAATCGGCCAAGTTTGAACAAATATTAAAAACGGTCTTAAGTTCTTTTCTTTTTCCACAATCTAGTTTGACTACCATTTTTTTTCAGATGCAGCATTTTTTTAAATACATTGGCCGGGGTCCCGTGCAATTGTGGGAATCAAAATGGTGCTGAGGAAAGGCGCTGACGTCACTGCAAAATGCATTACGTCATCAAAACTGGGATAAACAGAATGGCATACCCTGCAACAGCACGTGACCCTGCCAAAAATTGCACATTCTAACAAAGCACTCACTCCACTATGAGGAATATCACAGAAACGTCATTAATTTGGTCTACAAACATCTAGACATTACGTTTGCACCTACTTGCTCTTGCAGTATTGAAAACAGGTGAAACTACCAGGAAAACATAAAAGAATAACTTAGAAATGAGCCTATACAATATTTTGTACAATTCCATAAGTAAAACGCATTTTTTCTTGTCTCCAACGAAGTTGGAATGTCGCACGAGTTACGAAGTGTGAATCGTGAAACGTTCAATAGTTATCTGAATGATTTGGACAATATTTGAAAATTATGTCTCCTTATTTTTCATGAAGAGCAGACCCCCCCCCACTATGGTTTTACTTGCGGACATCTTAGTGAAGAGACATCACCTAGTCTGGTGTGAAAAGCAAATTACGGTCACACATTACCTGGTAACGCTACACGGCGAACGAACTTTACAAAACGTAATGTGATGAAAAGTTTTCTACTGAATTCCGAGAAACCGTTATATAAACTCAATATTATCTACTGGTTATTCAGGCATGACAGAGTACGGGAAACAAGCTGTGAAATTTTCAACGTGCAGTGCACTTAAGTCAATGTTCGCTCAAGCGAGCTGTAGAATGAAGAACCAGCTCCAATCTGTCAACTTGAGACTTTCAAATAAACAAAATGCCTCTCATCTCGACTTTGCCTCAAATGAAAGAGTTTGTCAGCATGTCTGTAGAGAAGTTATTGTCCGTGTAGGCGTTCTGCGGCGGCAGAGGGTCCAGGTACATGTCCATGGAGAGGTCGTCGCGGGGGAGGTCGTCACGGTTGAGTTCATAGAAGAGTTCCGCGTCGCTGAGCTGCATGAGCTTGGTCAGAGTGGTCATCTGCTCAGGCGTCAGGCCGTTGCCGTTCAGGTCGTCCGCGCTGATGGGGCACTGGGGCTGGGAGAAGCCCTCTGTTGGCTGGAGCCGGGCCTGGGGGTTGGTCATGCTCCCAATTTGCTGCAGCTCCTCCTGTTGCTGCATCTGCTGCAGTTGGTCCTGCTGTGCCTGAGAAAGAGCTTGTGAGATCAGCGAGGTCACGGCGCTGTTCTGGTTCTGCGGAGGCGCATTCACGAGAGCCCGGAGGCTGCTCAGCGTAGCGCTAGCGGACATGTTCATGTTGTCCATCCCCTGAGGGACGATTTGCTCCGTCTTAATGGGCAGGAGGTCGCACGCGGTGCCGTCCACCCCCTCCTGAGGACCCCCCTGGGGCTTGATGGGGTTGAACTGGTAGCATCCAGCGTTGTTCACTCCCTCCGGTTCCACCATAGGAGTAGGTGGGCTCTGGGCGCTGGTGGCGTAAGGCTGCATGTGGCTGGGCGCCTCGAGTCCGGAACTGGGGAAAGTGAAGACGCTCTCCTCCATCATCTCCAGCGGAGACATCTCGGGGGTCGGCAGGCCCATGGCGGCTAAGGGCTCCGTGTAGCTGGCCGCCGTGAAGTTGAGATCGATGGTGCCCAGCGGGGCGTGCTTGAACTTGAGGTCTGGCGCGGTGCCGTTGGCGTTGTCCATCGGGGTGGGCGAGGTGCGAGGGGTGACGTCGGGCGTCTGGAGGGAGCTGGTGCCCATGTGATCAGGGGAGCTCGCAGACATTGAGACAGGGGTAGCGGGCGCCGAAAGCGGGGTGCTGGGGCTGCTAGCGGCGGCAGAGCTCCCCGTAGACCCGCCAGCTGGCGGTGCAGTGCCGGTGTTCCTCTTCATAGTGCGTTTGGGGCCCTTGCGGCGCCGTGGCCGGTACTTGTAGTCTGGATGGTCCGCCATGTGCTTGACCCTCAGTCTCTCTGCCTCATCAATGAATGGCCGTTTCTCCATCAGAGAGAGGCTGCGCCAGGACTTCCCTGCAGTAACGACAAAGTGTGATGATACGCATTCAATACAAAATCTAATTCCATCATGTACATGTACACCACACAGTATGTGACAAGTCATGGCAACACACGTTTTGCTTAGTGTAAAAAAAAGAGCTTTCAGGGAGGTACATTATCCGTCACAACAGAATGCACCAAAACATCAGATATACTCAGAGGTGAACCCCGAACACTAGAAACATGACTTTTTCCCCTTTACAGATTGCAAGATCTCTGAACTGGTTATCCATTCCTTTCAGATATTGGCGAGGAGCACCAGTAAGTCAGGAGCACCTGTGCAGGCTACAAGACGAGATGGTTGCAAGGTGGGTTGTCAAAAGCCTAAGATATTCCCTGGGCTCTTCTTTTATCCACCATCACAGCCGGGGCCTCTTCCTGGTCCTAGTCCAAATAGTCAGTTGATAAAAACTGCCAAAAAAGCCAAGGTCGGCCTGGAACCAAGGCTCTAACAAGACAAAAATTCCTATAAGACGGAGGGAAGGAAACAAGGACCAGCCAATTCCACCTACTCGGCCTGTTTTTTACCAAACCAGCACCGGGGAAAAAAACTTTGTCCTTTGCCAGAAAAGAGAGAGAGAGAGATCCCTCTCTCAGCTCCCTACGCACTAGCGAAACCAGAGCTTTCCCCCTTTCAACAACTACGGGCGAATGGGCCCGATCAGCTGGTGGTGGTGAGGTCACGCGGTTCTTAGTCATCGACATCAATAGAACTTCAGGCTACCCTTTCAAGCTTAAAGGGATATTCCTCTAGGGAAATAATACTCCATTCACCCAAAATCTAAGCTCCGCTTGATTAGTCCGCAGAGAGTAAACAAGTCTCCACCCCCCCCCTTCAATGAGCCAGTGCCAGGACCGAACTACAGAATCCATCTGGAAATCCACCTTGTCGATCAAATTAATTCCCTATGCTTTTGGGGAAAAAAGGAAACACAACTTTAACGTGGCTTTTAATTAACAAACTATGTACTTAAAGTATACTTAGACGTGTTTGACATTGAATTTCAAGAGCCGGGCAGTAGGTCACCTATCTTTTAGTGATTGTATAATCTTAAAGGCCCTTGAAAGGGATCGCACAATGCTCGACTTTTCGCCATTCCTCAGAGAGCCTTCCGCGGATGCCTCAGCATATAGAGGGCCTTGCGTGCTTCGGCAACACTTCCGAAGTCCAGCGAGCCCGACCAGATCAACTTGAAGCAGCGTCACAATCATCAAACCCAAAAGAAAGTCCGCTCAAGACGAGGGCGCCCCTTTAAAAGACTTGTTTTCTACTCCCACCCCGATATCCCCAGGTACGCCATTGATCCCTCGCATAAATAGCCTCATTGCTCTGCGGCAGCTCAGCATTAGCTGTGATCGCCTGACCGCACACCCTTATTATATTTGGCTGGGGCCAACCTGCGCAATATATTATTACTTCATAACAACTTCCCAAATGTAAACAACAGACTCTGGATTTGCTGCGACTCCAACACGGAACAGCTCCGTGGAAATAAAACGAGGAAAGGGGAACGAGAAAGACGCCTGAACAAAACCACAAACCCACTTTAACTAGCCATAAAAGCTCGTCCCTTTAGACTGCGTTTTGTATCATTCTTTTACACTGAAATGAGCTTAGGACTTCCTGTTAAGCACTGGAACTTATTTTGACCATTCTGCCTGCCATCCAGTGGTCGGGTGTTGCACTTACCTCCCTTTTCTAACACCCACCGTTCATTTTTCCAGTCGATCCCTGAATGTCTCATTTTTATTCATTTCAAGGACCCCACGTGACGGGAGTAAATGACACGTAGTTTAATAGTTGAGCAATTGTGAAAGTGCGTGAAGGGTACCTCGATAGCTGCCCACGTGACCTTCGCGCTGGGGAGGAGTCGAAACGAACTTGCACGGGCAGCCCTAAACAACCGAGAAGTGCTGTACTCAATGGGTCGACCTCACGATTGCGAAATGCCCCAAAGCTCACGTTCTCGATGAACTATGCACGTACAATATACGTACATGTACATGTCTAAACATTCATGTATAGGGTACTCGTGCATGAACATGCACATGGTGCATGCTCGACGCTTTCAAATCCCATGGTGCAATGCATTTTAATCTGTGACAGCTTGGCAGGAGGAACACTGGAATTTGCCCGCATTTTTGCATGATGATGTTTGATACTGTGGAAGTAAGCAGTTAACTTTCCTGTCAAGAGTGATTCCACAAAATAAATTGCACGTGCATGGAAGAAATTTCAGATCGTTGAAAGTAGGACAGGTGCCTCAAAATGGTGCATGTGTGAGGTACACAGACAGGCGTTTTCCTCTAATTTAATTTGACGTAGACAAGAACACAACACAAATATTACAGTTCGTTTTAACCCAGCACAAGAAACTCTTTTTGTCGTGTGTAGAAAGCACCTTTAACTTTTCAACCGCATCAAGGTAACAGCTGTTAGTTTTTATAACAACGGATATGCCCCCACGTTAATTGAGCACTCGCAACTTGGATCATAGACGGACCCGTCACGCCTGATTATGTTACGTAATACCTCGCAATATTTTGCGCAGGGTTGCGTACCAAGCTGGGGCCAATTATTGTCCTGACGTCACGGGCACAGGATACACTGTACATGTACATGGACTGTACACTCTACACGACTCGAATGAGTTGAGTGTCTTTAAATCTGCTACCCCAGGGAAAGAGTCCAGCACGGTTTCGACGCCTCGATGTCCATGCCAATTTCGCCGAGCGTCTGTCATACCATACGTGCACACGGCCCGTCAAAAGTAAATATTGTTACTTTCCATCTATACATTTTTCCTTCTATTGCCAAGGAGCATTCTGACGGCTGCTTTACGGGAAAATCAGACAGTCAACAAAATTAAGACTTGTCGAGTTTCAAGATGGCCCGGTCATCTTGACATCGTCCTCACTGGTGCGATTTCAAACGTTTCATGTGTCGCAAGTAATACGTTTCATATTTGCTTGACAACGCCTGAATGCTTTTACCGACTGACGAAAGTCATCACCAAGTCATATTGTTTGGGAACAACTTCTAACAATAATCCAACATCCACGCACCGTCATCAAAGAACAGGCAAATTAATGCTCAAGTTTCTTTGTTCCAACCCTTAACATGTTTGACAGTCGCACATGCAATATCATCGCGTCAGCAAGACTGACAGTGACTCCACTTCACGCCAGGCACGGTACATGTGTTTTGAATCTAATCGTGACGGATCGGGGACTAGATTCAGGTGACTTCATCAAGCGATTCATCATTATTCTTGATTCACAGCCCATGAGTAATACAGCCGCAACACCAAGGTGGCTGAAAAACACCAAAGTGCTCCAAAATGCACGTATTTTTTTTCATCTGGACAATTCCAGTTCCACGGCAACTAATGTGTTGTCACGGTTCGTGAAGATCCGGCGGTAACTAAAAACAGGCCCCCCCCCAATGCCATGTGTCCCGACACGGTTCATGGTGCCAACTCCCCGTCTGTCCATCAATAATGTTGCCCGCTGTACACCATGTTGCGTCCGTCTGCATTTCAACAACACGAATGTGCCGCGCACAATCGATAGAATCCGTCAATACAATTCACAGTACACTGGGAGTTATCCGCCACGTCAAGGGTTTTAGACCCGGGACAGCCTTTATCCTAATGGATGATACCATTAGGATGGTGCGGTTTAATTTACGCATGCACTTGGTGGTGTCCTGTCAAGATTATGCTCCATAAACTCGTTATGGCTTTACCCAACTTCTTGTATGCTGTTCATTAAAGCACACATTCGGATTCTCGTGAACTTGTGGTCCGTAAAGTTGAGAAGTTGTGAACTCACTTTAATACTGAATGGTTACGACTAATACATGTACCTAACTACAAAACTATTAAAACTAAAGGGGGGGCAGGGACAACTTTTTGACAGGCACTTTTGACTGCCAGGCGGGTTACCGGGCCAATTCACTGGCTGAGGATCACGTATCACGGGCCGTGTTTTCTCTCAAGAGTGGAATAACTGGTTCCCTCCAAGATGGCACCAGACCAAAATGTGTGAAACTACCGTAATGTTTGACTTCAAATAGATCACGGACACTGCAGAAGATGTGCTCATTATGTACTTCATTCCAACATTTTCAGTATCAGCGGTGTCACTTCCAAATAGTCCCGAGAACCGTGCTGGAAGTTTTTGGAGTCGGAGAATACGCGGAAGATAGAGGCAAAAAAACATAACATAACAAAACAAAAACACGCAAGACAGCTTCGACAGCAGTGGGCAACTTTTGTGTAGCCGTTAAATCCATCACCGCTAAACAGGGTCGGCTCTTGCGCAATAACCTGCCGAGTACCTCTTCATTTCGTATATTCATGTACAAGCATATGCACTGAACGTGTGCTTTTTTCAACCCTCACTGTGTGCACGGCGCAGGCGAGCCGTTCATTTTCACATCGCGTGCAACTCAACAGCTGGTCGCAATGATGGTCATATTAACAAAACCTTTAACACGTGCTTGAATTTCAATTTTCATTTTCGTAGTCACTCACGATTCCTGTTCGGATATTACCGCACAGTTTCCGCCACAGCAACATGTGAAGTCCCCACATTTTTCACGGCAGCGGTGTTTATAAAGAGCACGAACTCCTATTATGAAATAAATCACCGCACCGAGGAATTAACCTCAACAATTTTAAGGGAGTCCCTGGTCGGAGCAGTGTTTACTGAAACATGAGGAGCCGGCCTGTCACTTGATTTACACGGCTGAGCTTGGAGCGCTCGAGGTGCTCAGCAACGGCCTTGACATGAACAGTGCTGCACGAACCGCGCACGAAGCGGGTCTGTTACGACGAAGCACGAAAAGCGCATTGCACCCGAGATACATCGTCAACACACAAGTGCGGTAAACAGGTCCAACATGCGTTCAAGAACGATCAAGGTACCACGCATCCAAGTGAGCATGTCCTAAATGCATGTATTCACCACTGGTGCATGCGTTTCACCGCTTCTTAAGCTATGCAACAAACGTGCCATAGTCATACACCACAGCACCACATCGTGGGCAGGCATGCACACACTCGATCAGTTTCCGTTTTATTTACGCTGATTCAGTTAAGTGCATGTGCATAATGACGGGTAAGGGTTCGGCTCAAACCATAAATTGTAAGGGTTCGGCTCAAGTCGTAAATTTCCTGCCGCGACATGTGTACCGGCTACCGGATGAACTTGTCAGCCAACGTGGCTAATGAAGGCAGCTTGTTTGGTGGTGGAGGGTGCCAAATATTGGTGGTGTTGATCACAGCGCATAGCTTAGGCGCGGATTAAACTCGACCATCCTGACCATGTCGACATCTGTGCTTACAGAAAAAAAAGTCATACAAATCGGCGGCCGCGTCTGTATAGAAACGTGAACATGTACATGTACTTAGGAGATCCGATTTTCAACTCAAGTGCAGCAAATGGTTTCATTCAGCGTGTATAGCTACCTCGGAGTCGTAGCAGAATGGGTCCGTGAAGTGGTTATTTGTGTGTGCGTTAATATAGCATTAATTTAAAAAACTCACCTAGCATTTTACTGAGATCGGCGTTGTGTAGATCTGGGTTCTGATCTGCCAGCCGTTTTCGTTCATCCTTGGCCCACACCATGAAAGCATTCATGGGCCGTCTAATCCTCGTCTCCCGCTTGCCCCTTCCACCGCTGGCCCCATCCCCGGCGTTCTTCTCCTTCATCTCCTCCAGCCACTTGCATCCGGCCTGCTGGAGCAACGCGGCGTTGCCTGGCTCCGACAGCAGGGTCACGGTGCTCAACCCGCCGCGGAGCATTAAGTTATTCCTGTTGAGATTTAAGTCCTGTTGGAGCATTTCCGAAACGGTTCTCATGTCGATGTGCAGTTACTAATACCTCATCAAACCAGCTTTTCGAACAAGGAGTGCACCGCTCTCACTCGAACTGCATCGAGCGAGGTCTCACCAAGTTGTGTTGTAATAAACACCGTCGATTTCGTTTTTCTACCGATCAGCTGGCCGAATCAGCTGTTCTCGCTTCATTGACACACTAAACGCGCTGGGCTTTAAGCTATACCACTGGCAGCTCCAGGCGCTAGCCAATCAGCGACCAGAAGGGTCTGCCCCCGTGGATGACGCGGCATGGCCAATGATGACGCATAGCTCCGCCCACTTTCCATCGCGGTGCTGGCTTATAGTCTAGCGCCCGCTACACTCATCGTGGCACATCGTTAATACACACACATACATGTACATGTACATGTATACTGTACATGTACATGTACATATACAGGTACACCTGCATTGGTTGACATAGGGGTTCATGGGTTGACATGTCAGCGTGCTGGTTGGCCGATTGTGTGGCGTAAGGCGGGATTGGGAAACCAGCGCGTGTTGTTTATGACCTTGGGATTATTTGAGTTAGAGTTTTGAAGCTCCAGGCATGATTGATCGTGTTTCTGGCCCGTAGTTCACAGTCATGTTAAAAAGATCGCGAGGTCTTGCCAGATCTCAAGAGAAGGCTGTCAAAAAAAAAATTAAAGACCATGGCCGCGTGACAGTACGGTGAAAACATGCAGGTGGATCGGGATTTTAAAAAAAAAAGCGAGAGACCTTGTGCTTTGGAACAGAGTTCAAGAAAAGGAGTGGGATCAAACATCACCGCGAAAAAAATGTGAAATTATGCCGTGGTTTGTCACCACATCACAAGGCGAATGCCTTGTGGGGTGGCTTACCAAATAAGCGATCAGGTAACAAGCATTTTAATAGAGAAGATTTAAAGCTTACGTCTTTTCTCTTTCGTACATATTTTCAGTTTCCCAATGTTCCCTTTTCAAAATAAATCAATGACAATTAAACATGGGAATACCACGATTGTTCTATCGAACACCGTTGCTGGGATGACTAAACCGGTGTCGACATCGGATCGGTTTTAATAGCTCCATGGTTGGAAGCCATCCTCGAATATTTACACACACTTGTCTTGCGTGCCAGTACTATAAAGTGTCAACAGTGACAGTTAATTCCGAACTTGATTCCGTTATTAATTAATGGACTCGTTTCTTTGAAAGCGTCCGGAGCTAGAAGAATATTAAACGCAACAGGCAAAGATCTGACAGAGGCCGCTAAAATTGTGCGTCATTAATGTCAAGATCAAATATTTGTCATGAAAAAATGATATTTGATTTAGCCTGGAATTGTGTGGCAAAACGGCTGATTTTGCATGTTTCCAAAGGATGATTTCTCACTTCAGCGTAGCGTGGCTTTTGAAGTGCAGTCTTGTTATGAGTACAAGTTAAAGTTGAGGAAGAAAACTTTACTTTTTTCAGCTTTGAAAACCGTTACTGTAGTATTTTGGAAGTTCACCTGCCCCCTCGTGGTACGAGAGTCCGCTCACAAATACGACCCTCTGCGCAGATAACTGCACAGGCTAACAAGTGGACAAATGCTAACTACATGTACCTGTAGGTCTTCAATTGCTTTGGTTACCAAGCTGTTACGTGAGGGTCCTTTCAAGAAACCAAATGTTGCAAGTTTCATTCTCTCTTTCCATAGCAATTCAGCAAATTCCTATCAATGTCCAAAACTGCAAAGGGTCGCTTCTTTACGACTGCTTTTTTTTTAGGCACGGGCAGTTTCACCATTCGCACCATAATAGTGGTTCTCGGTTTCTTTTATGCGCAGGACAGAGCGAGTAGTGACACTTTTGAAGATCACGTAATAAATCCCTACCAATTCTCAACCAATCTAGTCACGTGCAAGCTTCTCATCTACGGGTATAATCGACGTACCGTAGGCATCAAGCACGGAGGTAGGAACACATGGAAGCGCTAATTCTTACTTCCTTGAAGTTCCTTCATCCATTACTGTGAAAGACCGAATCTTATCACACAGCCCTGAGACGCCTTTTAAACATAATCCCCTCCTCGGCGACATTCAAATCGGATTGAGCAAGATTTCTTTTCACCTTCCCCAAGAAACGGCACCAAGATGACCAGATTAGTCCAGGATTATCAGCAGTACTTGATTTCAGAGGACGAAACTCTTTCGTAACACAGTCGTTAACCGTTAGCAAAGATGGCTTCCGATGATCTCCGATTCTATAACGGGATCAGACTGAAATGGAACGTAGCCTCTTTGGTTCTGTGAAGATGTGAGACTTCTGACGTGGCTTGGCCTAACTAGCTCGGCTAGAAACCTCAAGTGTCACGCATGTAGGAACAAAAGACCTGTTCGAAATGACCTAAACTTGTGCCTTCAAACATGGCTGCGTGGATTGTCCTATTGGGTTTAGTTAGGACATATTTCTACCCCTGGATACAACGTAGTGATATGGATACAGTAAAACTACCGCCCTCTCTTATTGTTGCTGCATCACCTTCTTTGGTTGGACCTTTTTCTACAAGAGGGAGAGCTCTGAGCCTTCAATTTCAAAGACGCCTTCAAAGCCTTTTGCCTTCAAAGACAAATCCTCACCGTTTCCCGATAATGAGTCGCTTACGCCATAGAGACAGGAACACAGCGCTGTGCTTACAGTTACACTTATTTACAGCTTCGACCAGCTGTCCAGGGGATTCTTTTTAGATCAGTAAATGCAACAATCATGATGCCTCCGTAGTGACAAAGAGCCAATGCGATTTGTCCAATCGTGGCTCAACTATGAAGCCCCTTGTACAGTTTAACCGTGGCAGAACAAAACAGAGATAAGATTCGGTGTTCTTTCACCCACCCCTTCGGACTCCGACCTGTCAATTCACAGGCCTCTCGATCCGCTGTCACTCAGAGCCGATTCCCCATACTGCTATCAATATAACTGATTTGCGGTCTGCACGGAAGTAGTAAACAAGAAACCGCAGAAAACTTGTTTGTCATAATCCTGGTTCTGTTAACTTTATCGTAACAAGTCGGGGCCGTGTACTTAGACCCGCGCAAGCCCCATCCCGCGCCTGGACATGCCCGGGGCCCGTGCACACGCGTAGCGAATCAATAGGCTTCACAAAAGTTCCTTTTGTGCGCGTTCTGGAGGAGCTCTCACGTCCAGCTTCGCAACGTCAAAACAAGTCAACTTGATCAAAGTCTACTCAAGACTAATGGCGAAGTTGATTTTCGTAAGAAACATGAATCTTTAGTTAGATTGTTGTTTTTTTTACAATTTGTGTTTGACTTTGAGTGCTGTGGGACTCAAATAACTTGTTGACGGGTGCCTGACATTGTGGATAAGAAGATCCTATTGTTTTGACGGAGTTGAAGTCCCGTAGTTTGGGTCAAGACCGGAGTTACTGTCTTACTAACTCGACTGTCTTTGAAATCTCAGTATGTTTGTTCGATATAAGACAGGCAAAGGGTTTGAAGTTAGCAAACTGTGCTTAACAGGGGCGCTGTTTTTCTTAAACTTATTTTGGTGGGGAATAAGGTCGAAACGAAGCCCTTCGCACGATCGACCTGAATGGGGAGAGGGCCCGGGAGGCTACGCTGACACGCCTCGACTGCTTGAAGAGGTTGTTTGAACCGAAGCTTGTATGACAATTTTTCTTTGGCTAGTACTTCGTCCTAGCTTCGCCTTGTCTCTGAAACCTCTTAAAGCCTTTACAACAGCGAAAAACTGCCATCTTTGGCTTCGAGGATCGGTACTGTTCCGTTTGAGTTTCCAAGAGTAAATCATCGCCCTATTACTTTCCTATGGAGCGGACGAGTTGGATTCGCAACCGTGAGAAGCGGAGAGAGGTGGACGCCCCGAGGCTTTGGATGAGCCTGCGTCTTGCACGTGCAGCCTCGGTTTGGTTCTGAGGTGACGATAGCGTAAAGGGGAATAAAACTCGACTTTTCTGTGTACAGAATACGGCCAGCATAGCTGTGCAACGTGGCACAGGAATATTTGCCGAGCTACCATCTTGTCAGAAGAATAATGCCCCTAATGATTTAGTGATTCCCCTTTTAAGACCTAACAATAAATAGATCGTAATCTTGATCAACCCCAGTGCTCAATACAGAGAAACAAGTTCAAACACATGTGTCCATGGAGCTCGTGCACATTTCTGGACTCTGCACTGACAGTGGTAAATATTGCATCATAATCCTGCAAAACTCCCCAGACCCGAAGACTATGAATAAATCAAATACGACAAGCGAATCTAAACAGGCGTTTTCATTTGGACAAGGAGGAAAGCAAAACCTAATTGAGAGCATATCAATCACGATGGTGCATTTTATGACTCGCTGTTTTTCTGTCATTTTCTTGTATTTCCGCGTTGTTGGGTCAAATGGCAACTGGACATGCGCTAATTCCTGTCAAAAACAAGAGTGTGTGTAAACACGCAAGTTGACTTTGTTTCATGCGGGTATCTCACAAAAGAGCTTTTCAGTCATGGCCAATCCTGCTTAGTTGAAAACACTCCCCTTGTCAAAATGGACACAAGGCATCGTTCTCCGGGGCATTATAACTTATTTTGGCCCCCTGCTCTGTTGTGTTACCTCACGGTTTGACAAAAATAGTTGCAAAGACTGCTCTGTTTTTCGCACGGGTCGCCAGAGTTTACAGAAACATACAACCTTTAGTTGATGCCTCTTAACATACATTTGTCCCATTAATTTTGAAAGACTTTACTTTTCCAGTGTTTTCCCACCTGTGTGAGATTTTGTAAGGGCTGAGTGGGTTATTCTTTTGCATTTGAAGTGACGACCGGCCATAGTTTTTCCTATCACTGCCAGAGAAACACATGACTGTGATGCAGAAAGAAACAGCTGGTGTTCAGGTCTTTCCCATGACCAAAATTGAAACCAGCCTGGTAGCCATTACACCCTACGCTTTGAAGGGCCGATCTGTGGTTCAGAGCTGTGTTTTGTGCTAACCCGTTTGGCGCAGAATCCGTAGTTCTGACGCGTCGGCATGCGCGCAAGCAAACCTCCTTTCGTAATCCGTGAGGGAGACAGTCTGACTGTCCCCGCAGAATTTTCGGCTGCATTGGGCCAAGATTTTCTGCAGAAAGTAATTGCAGCCATGAAGCCACACCACGAAATTCTCTGAAGATATCCAAACGTGTAACAGTGAGAGAACTG